CAAAAAAAAAAAAAAAAAAAAATCCTTGCTGTGTTTCTGCGTCGCCCGGTTTCGCCGGGCGGACCCCCCTGTGCCCAACCAGCCGGGGCCCGCCCGGCCGGGCGGCAGCCCCGCCTAGGAAAAAAATAAATAAATCCTAGAGAAAAAAAATTATCACTTTTTATAATGGTTACACCGGACCAGTCCAAACGTCCAGGCTGACCTGTGACTGGACTGCTCCAGACCGTGCAGATTGAAAAATCCTAAGCCAAAAGATTTTTGGATTGCAATGCTGCATAACATATCTTTTTTTCAGATTTTTAAATCTCTTTTTTTTTTTAAGTCGGATTTTTTGGGGGGGTGGGGGTGGGGGATGGATCCCAACACTCTAGAGCGGGTACCAGACTTGGACATCCAGACCCCAACCGTCTGCACGGCGGTCTACACTTCCGGATTGTAACCATGCTTTAATCAATTTAAAATTCATCCAGAGTCCAGACAGGTATCCGGACGTCCACTATCCCTGGGCACCAGACTGTCTGGACTCTGATTGGCCATCCTGATATCTGGATTGTAACTGTGCTTCTAAGCCCCCTCTCTCTCTACGAGGTGAGAATATCAATCATTAGATTCATTACCCTGCAACATCTTTCTTCTTCCGTTTCGATGCAGTCCTCAGCATAGGAGTTAACATGCCTTGAGCAAACACCTGCACCATCTTGTAGACTGCCTCCCAGACCACATCCATGACAATCGACTCAGCTCTGTCTAGTACTCCTGCCATGCCCTTGATATAGCAAATCATCTCAACCAAGGCCTTCTTCTCAGCATTGCTGTAGTTGCATCTCACAACCTGCATTTCTCAATACAGTGACATACAATGAACTTAACGTCAGCAATAAGACTAGTGGTAGCCTCATGGTTTGGTGTGGTCTGCATTTCTCAAGACTGTGACATACAATGAAGTTAACGCCAGCAATAAGACTAGTGGTAGCCTCATGGTTTGGTGCGGTCTGCATTTCTCAAGACAGTGACATACAATGAACTTAACGTCAGCAATAAGAAGAGTGGTAGCCTCATGGTTTGGTGTTGTTTCTTTAGGGTATAGACTCGAGAGTCGAGAGTCTTTCATTTACTTTTTTTTTTTTTTTTTTTTTTTTAACTGTTTAGTAGTTTTTACTATTTTTTAGGGCTGTTAGGGTTTTCCAACTTTTTCGATTTCAGGATTGCCAGCTGGCCAAGGAATCCTCTTCGAAGTTCGAATTTCAAAACGCTAGAAATTCACAAGAATAAAATGTTGCATACCTCAAATTGCTTGACCAACCCCCAACATACCTGACCTGTTGGACCCAGCTCTCTCTTTTCACTCTTTTTCGGTATAGCTGGCAAATGAGGGTGATAATGTTTCCACAAGGACTAGGCGACTGGTCCAACTCACCAACAGGCTCCAACAACACCTTCCATGCCGAGATTGCACTTGTCAGATCAATTCAAATGACCAAAAATGACAGCTTGCCACACAATGATGACAATGAACAAGCCACGCATATAACAGAGATCCTTTTTTTTCTTTTTTTTTTTCCATTGCAGGCTTGCAGCAAAGATGCACAACACAAACCACCATCATGGTGTGGCTACCAATGTTTGGATGAGCGACTTCACATTGTACAGTATCGGCAAGGCTCTCCATGCGAACGACTTAGTGCAAGACACCAACATGGCCCACCCCACACGCAATGATACTGACTCCAAGGAAAGTGCCCATGGATCGTAATCGAGAGCTGAGACACGATTCGATCTGTGCCTTGCATAATGTTGATGATGATGCACGGCAATACCTGCACCCGTCAGGATTTCTCATACATACCCGCTCGTACGCCGAAACCTCCGGATTCCTCTCAGGATCAAGCGGTGCTGCATCGCGGGCAGGACGCGAGTACTTCCAGACACATTGCTCCATCACTCTGCCGGTGTAACTGCTCAGTAGTTGCAACCCCTCAAGGACCGAATCATACACAACGCGGCTGAAGCCAACACAGTCATTTATGTCGTGGTTTCTCTTTCTCAATAATTGCAGCTGGCATGAAAGGCACATATGTCTGTGTCAGTAGTCATAAGGAAGGCAGCAAACACCAAACCCAAATTTACACAGTCTCAGAACATCACTCAATGGAGTTCCGATTTTTTTTTATTTTTTGTTAATTTTTTAATTTTTTTTTAAGGCGACGCCGCGACGGCCTTCAGATACGATCATCGAACTGACCGGTGCGCCGCTAGGTAATTCAGAAATGTTGTAGTATATAATGCATCTGTTTGCAATGGAGTTTTTCCAAATTCCAGTACTTCTATTCAGACAAAAGCCGCATGCCACTCCTGCCATTGGGAAACAAGAAAACTTCCAAATGCAAGGAATATGAGTGGGAACGATATACAAAAAGCCAAGTTGCGAAATCACACAGATGTCCAAGTAGTCGTGTACAAGCAGAGAGCACAAATGCGCCAAGAATCCATCCAAATAAGAGCAATACAATGAAGTAATGAGCCAATGTTCAAGCCCTCAGGCCACACCAACGCAGTATCCAAAGTCGCTCCTCTCTGTCTGGCGCCCAGCGCCCAGCCTACACCACTTGACTATCCTACCTACATTAGCATTCTTGCAACAGGCTCACTTCGACTCTTGAAGACCAATGTACATGATGTCAACACCATAGCCGACCCCTCTCATGCACCAGGTACGTATCTCGTCTCCCCTCATCAGACCCTGTCCACCCAGACTCGCCTCCTTCCTGAAGACCACCGATCGCCCTCTTACCCCCTAGCGCCCTGCAGCCCGGCTATGGCTGCTAGCGCTCCGCTGCCCAGCAGAGCCCCTCTCACGTCTCATGCGCCCCGCAAGCGCCCTGGCCGCAACGCAGCACGCAGCCTCTAACGCAGCAGCATGACCGCATTGCTTGTGGGCCAGAATGCTAGACCCTAGCTGCCTTGCTTCCTACATGGAAGTGGCAGCCTCTGCTTGGCTGCGTGTGGCCTGGCTAACCGCCTGAAGTTGTTTCACATATAGTCTCTGAGGATCCTACACAGACATATGTTGGTTTCCTGCGGATTATGCCCATTACATTTCAGTAAGGTGAACTCGTACATGTCTTCCGGTTGGGCCCCAGTGCCTGCGCCCAGGCCCAGTGCTACAGTTGAGGGCCAGGGCCCTTTACAGTTGGGCACGGCCTGAGTCTCCAGACTTGGGCCGTTTGCTGCATTTGCACAGGACCCGGGGTATGTACGTCGACAGCGCTGCTTTTGCGTAGGCCTGTGGCCACTTCGTGATGTATCGGCGCTGCATTGTGTGTATGTGCCCAGGCACAACTGCCGAGGCCTGGGCCAAACTGTATGACGCAGCTTAGGGAGGTTCATGCGTCCACTCAACCAACTGGCGGGCTGCAACAGCCTGAGTACCCCCATATGCAAAATATCGAATTTTGGCCTTTAGTGAATATATTCAGGCCCGCCTTCACGTAGGGCGAGCACTTGGCTTGCTGGAGGCCTCTGCCCAGAACAAGTGCATGCTTGACAAGGGCCCCGCAAGGGCTCATTCCTCGCACAAACGTTTCTGAGTAGTGAATAGCACAAAAAACTAGGGCTAAAAAAGGTGGGAAGAGCTTCTGAAAAAACACAATGAGGAAACAAAACCAAAGAGAGAGAGGGAGGGAGAACAAACAAGTAGAAGGTCATTGATGAAATGATCATCGCTCTTGTAAAACTGCAGGGCTCCACATCCATTTCCTTCTTTGCTCTGCAGTTCTTCAGGCCCCCAATCTGCTTGACATGGCTGTCCTCATCTTGGGAGTGCTCCTCTGGGGCATTCACACGATTTGCATATGTATCACCTCAAGGCATACTACCATAATAGATCCACACCTCAACATCTCTCTCTCTCTCTCTCTCTCTCTCTCTCTCTCTCTCTCTCTCTCTCTCTCTCTCTCTCTCTCTCTCTCTCTCNCTCTCTCTCTCTCTCTCTCTCTCTCTCTCTCTCTCTCTCTCTCTCTCTCTCTCTCTCTCTCTCTCTCTCTCTCTCTCTCTCTCTCTTTCTGTGTCTGTGAGCCCCCCCCTTACGGATTGCTCAGAATGATAATCCCAGGACATACAGAATGCTGAAACAGGAGGTCAACACAGAGGTGAAGAAGAAGAGCTCAAACGGGAGAGGGAGAAGACATATGAGAAGATCATGGATCATGGAAGACGATGCTCTGCATAGTGCAGGGCCAAACGAATATGGCCTTGCCATGTTTCAAAATTTTTGACCCAGCTGTTCTCACCAGAGCTATGACGCGGGCTTCTATGCTTATCTGTGGAGATCTTCGAAACAGGCTACAATATCCCACCCACACACTCGAGGCTGCAGAGACCGTCTTTCAAGGTAGCCTGCCCCTGCAGTGGCTCACCTCAATTTTACTCAGTAAATCGTACCATGTTGGGCAAACATGTTTGTTTTGCATCTGTTGATCCGCATGTGTATAGATTCTATAGATGCATTTGCCGTTTCGACTTTATCAAATTGTTATCTTTCTTCGCAATTTTGTCTGTTACTTCACGAAAGCAACGGGCAAACACGTAACTTGAAGAACTTTTTTTCGTTTCAATCTTTTTACTCAAGAACCAAGTCATGCAAATAAGTGAGAATTCATTTGTCACTTCTTTTTTTTTAAATAGCTCTTCTAAACTGGGGGCCAGCAGTCCGGTTACTTGTCACCAGCAAGCATGTTTGTACATCCGAAGAAGGGGCCAGCACAGACGAAGGAGAGGATCAGCCTTACCCTTGTGGTACTAGTGACCTAACAAGGGGGGTGGGATGCTACAGGGGGTCCCACCCCCCCAAACCATGGCCTTTCTCACGGGGCTTCCCTGCTGGCACGACAGCTGCATAGCATTGCCTCTGAGCCACAGTCTCCGTTGAGGTCCAGCACGCGTGCGAAACCTTTCCCCGATCTACTATGCCTTCCACACTGGGAATAGGGCGAAGTACCATCCAGCCAGGGCCTACACGCAGGTCCAAGCCTTCTCATTGCTCAGCAATTGTGGATGTACAGGCTGTCAGTTTGCAGGAGCGTTGACTCGCATCTTGCTTCAACCTTGGAGTGTCTGGCTATGGTGGATGCCTAGCCTTACTAGCGCTTCTACACGACAACTTGTAGAGCCGAGGGGGAGATGGTCCTAGGGCTTATAGACATCAGAGAGGTGGTAGAGGCAGGAAAGTCCATACAACTACAGATCTCAATTCCAATCGAGCCTGGTAGAAGAAAAGGTGAAGCATAAACTAGGAGAAAAGGCGAAGCATAAACTACACCAGGAGACTAAAGTGCCCGGGGTTATTCACACCAGATTATAAGTTGTGGCCCTTGGATGTATGGAGTTCAATATCTTGCTGAATAATGATTGATGAGACTAAGAGATTCAAGGAGAAAGGAGGCCAGAGAAGGTGGCAAGCAGGCGGATTTCGGGTGGGTTGTCTAAATTAAAGAGGTTGAAGGAGAAAGGAGTTTAGAGAAAGGTTGCAAGCAGGGGGACTTCATGTGTGTTGTGTAAGTCAAACTATCTTCCTCTTTATCAGACTTTTCAAGTGATCACCTTGGTAACCTTACCGACTCCTCTATGTGTCAGCTTGGCTGATGAAGCTGCGCATGTTGCAATCACATGGATGAGTACACGACTTAGAGAGTCCACGGTTGACGATTGAGAAGCCATGCCCAGTGGAGCTCGGTTCACCCTTGCCCTTATGAAAGCCACTGCCGACAAGCTGTGGAGCCCCAATTGCGCACACCGCCTCCCTTTCTCTCCTATGCATTCCCTTTCACCAGCGCTCAACATCCACGTTCACGCATCTTCTGTGGCACAGCCAATCAGGTATGGAGCCCCACTCACACAGACCACCTCTCTTTCTCTCCTGTACATTCCCTTCCACCAGCACTCAATGACTTTGTCCAGGTGTCCCCCTGAGGCACTACCACACACCTCCTGCCAGCAATCAGTTTGGCTACCTGGTTGATGACAGCATCACTGTCAACACCATCATCGACAGAGAGTGGTGCTCTGAGAAGTGCGCTCCTATCACCTTGTGGATAGTTGGTTTCCTCAATGATGCTTCCCCCCCCCCCCAAAAAAAAAGGGGGAAAAAAGGAGACCGGTGCTAAGTAAGACAGGCTATGGTGGGCACGGTAGCAGCAGCTATGGTGGGCACAGTAGAAGTAGAATATAGACAGAGGCAGGACCTTGCCAGGAGGCTGATCAGTGCTATCAGCCAAAGAAAAAAAAAGTGCTGCAGCCCGCCGGTAGTTATTCAACAGCTTGACAGCTTGAACTCCAAGCATTTTCACAGGCTTAGAAAGGGAATTCCTTGAGAGGCTGGGTGCTCCAGAGAATTGCATGGTCAAGTGGAAGATGGGCCAGGGGATGAGAGACGGAGGAAGGAGTGTTGAGAGGGAGAGAAAAGGTGGAAAGAGATAGTCAACCCTCCGGCCAGAATTGCTAATGCAGACAGGCTGAGTTACCAGTTCGCTTTGCTCTCCCTGGACCTTGCCTGGGCCCAAGGAAATGAGAGACCGTGGAAGAGGATCCCATATGACTGCTCTCGTCTTGTGCATGCTTGTTCATATCTTGCTCCTTTTTTTTATCACTTCTTTTTCTCTTGATCCTTTTTTATCACATTCTACTTCTTTTTCCTCACATTCTGTGAGCTGTTCGTGCCTTATTTTTATCACACTCTATTTTTCATCATATCCTTAAGATGTTAATTGCAAGGCTATTCAGTAACAAATGTTGTCATCATTCCCGGGTAGTCTGACATCATACTCGCACTCAGACGTTATCAACTGAATCAGGTGTACTTGCCTAAGCATGCACTGAGTGCCTGTCACTTGTTCGCCAACCCAGTTCGTCAAGTCAACACCACCGTCTTCACCCGAACAGAATGACGGGTCATTAGAGCTGCAACTGCACTAAAAGTTGCCCCAAATACAGCTGTAATGACCAGGTGTTCTGCTTGGGTGAAGACGGTAGGCATATCGTCTATGCTATCCTCCTCTAGTGGTAGCATATCCTCTACTGATGCCAATGAGCATCTCGATGGGCCAAAATGGGCCAAAACGGGCCAACACATCATGCAACACATGCCATATCCTCTAGTGCTAGCATGAGCACACCACCAGGCCACATTGAGTCACCACTTGGATGAGAGGAAGGGTATCAAAATACTCATCGACAAAGTTCAATGGTAAGCCTGACACCATGACAAAAAATGCCAAACAAGCAAGGAGAAGCCATTAGACAATTAGAAAATGGAGGGAATGTACTCGTTACGCCCTCTTCCTCTCGAGGAACCTGAAGGAGGACACCCTTTGGGTCTCCCTCACGTAGATGGTGCACCTTGTCGACCTCCTCTACCCCCACGTGGAGGTTGATAACTCAGAGGATCCCACATGCATGCATGCAGACTGACATCTGGACAGATAATACAAGAAATTCCAAACAACAGCGAAAGGGTCCCAAAGGGGAGTGTATATATTATATAATGACACCAAAAAAAAATAGTAAAATACGCACCTCATTTACCATACCAGCGAACCGGAATGTAAACTCGTCATGTACGCGCCGATATTCATGCATGTGTCGCACCAGCTCATAAGAGCTCTGGTAAGTGTTATCCATTAAGGACAAAAGTCATAAAATTTTATTAAAAAGCAAAAACTTGAAAAAAACAAAAAACAGAGAAATGTATACATAAAGCCAGAAGAGGTAAAACCATGAAGCCTGATAAAGGCCATTTGGTATTACGGTCACAGTTTTCCAACACACACACAAAAAAAAAAACGCATTTAACGCAGGTAGTAGGAAAGTTCACAGAACTTGTTCAGTCATTCTGTGACGTGCGTTCCTTTTTGTATAGTTTGCTTAATCTGTTCTATTTTTCATTCCTAAAAAGTTGTCTCAACTGCTTTATGAAACAGTCTGCTGCACTTCGCCATTGATTAGCTTCTCTACAATGGCAATGTTTATCACCAAGGGGAAAAAAAGAAGAAGAATCTTCATGCTTCCTGTGCGAAGATAGGACATGTGAGCCTGCCGCCGGGGTATCCATGATCCCTGAAAACGATGGAACACACAAATCAAGAAACAGCTGAAACCGGTCAAAAGACTCCAAAAGAGAGAACCGATAGGACATGCACCTGTCGAAATCACATATTCTGATTTGTTTCCGAGGACCAAAAAAAAAATAGAACTGGAGACCTATCCACTAGTATCCAGTTGGTTCGATTCAATTCAAAAATTTAACACGAGTAATATTCGTATGTGTTTTTCGACCTTTTCTGTTTCTGCTTCAAGCCTCCAAGCGCCGTGACACATAGACATTCCCGTGTTCTGCATTCTGGATACCACAATGCTCTTTCAGGATAAAGATGAAATATTCTTTGAGAAAATATGGCTCCTGAGGAGGTTCAAAATAATCGCAAATTTCAATATGCAATGCATATTATGAGCATAATTTCCTGTATTAATAAAAAAAAGGCTCCTTCTATTCTTGGAAGCAAGAGGACAGAGGGGGGGGAGGTCTCTTATACACATCTAGATGTGTATAAGAGACAGGCCTCTAACGCAGCAGCGCAGCAGCATGAGACCGCATTGCTTGTGGGCCAGAATGCTAGACCCTAGCTGCCTTGCTTCCTACATGGAAGTGGCAGCCTCTGCTTGGCTGCGTGTGGCCTGGCTANGAGGAAGTGTAAAGTTGTAAACAAACCTTGAAGGCACAGGAAATATGGCGATCACTAATCCACACGCTCAACTTCCCCCCCCCCCAAACCACATGCCTGCCGACCTTCCCCAACTGAACACAACACACCCTCACAATGACTGCATCGGACTGGAAAGATGACTTGTATACTCTCATTATTATCTGGGTGTGCTGTGTTCGCCTGAAGATGGTAGCCCGACACAGTTTCGCTTGAGTCGATCAGCACAACAATGTTGTGGATAATCTGGAATCAGAGATGCTACAGAACGACTGAGAGGCTACCGATTGATGAAGAAGACGGATGACAGATTTTCTTTCGAAGACAAGAAGACGATTGCGAAAGAACTCAGATGTCGATAGAAGAAGACTCTGGCAGCAGTGGAGCAACACCCACTCGAGGGGACAAAAGTGGAAACTGTTTTTCTAGAGGAAACATGGCTACTGCCGTCTTCACCCAAATAGAACGCCCGGTCATCATCACTGTGTCTAGACTCAAAACTGCCAAACAAATACAGCTAGTTGAGATGATCAGGTGTTCCATTCAGGTGAAGACGGTAGGGGGAACGATAGCATCAACAAGAGGCTCACGGATTGTATGGAAACGGCTGGCACAATGCACATCACTGTGTAACACAACCGCTGTTGACTAAACAAGGGATAGGAACTGCAGTTGCCCGCCCGGACGATCCTGTCTCAGTGAGAGCTTTCATAACCGTGAAACCACAGGATTGGTACACTGAGATCTTAAACCACAAGTACACGGCCCCAGCCTTGCAGAAAGTTTTTTGTCGCCACAAGAGAAACTCGGAGGGGCCGCGCATTGTGGGGCGCCGTTGAAAAAAACAAATCGGCGGCCTCCGAAGAGGTGCGTGTTTCGTGCTGACACCCGCGGGCTGTGTGGTGTACTGGTGCTTTACAGTCTCGAATCGTATGGAGAGGTTGGCACAGTCCACAGAGACATTACACAGTGGTTAACCCCGGGAGGCATGGAAGTGTGATTACTCATCTGGACGATCCTGAGAGCTTAGACATGTGAGATCACGGGATCAGTGCCAGCTTCAGATGAGATTTGCATTGGTGGACTACTATCACAGAAGACTGTTTTACGGTTCCTTTGAGTGGGGACTGCGTCCAAGAATGTAGCAATGCTGCTCTTGAGACGAGAGGAGGAAACTATTTTCTGTTGTGTTAAGAACATCCCACTTGCGTGGTGTGGATGACATACTGGACATGGTAGCGCAACCAACGAGGGAGTTTGGGGGTAGAAGAGCTGGAGGGAGTTTGGGGGCAGAAGAGCTGGAGGGAGTTCATTCTCAAGACCATTTGCTAGGGAGATCAATCAGATATTGATTCTTCTTTCGGCCATGTATTTAGTGAGAAACAAGAGGCGAGTACAAGTTATCAGGACGATAGTATGGTGAGGATTATGGAGTGAGTAGAAGAGATGAGTGTATTCTTCTTCCTTCCCTTCCCTCCCCTTCCCTCCCCTTCCCTCCCCTCGCATTAGACATTGATTCTTCGTTCGATCATGTATTTGATGAGGAAAAGGGGCGACTAAGAAGATATGAGGGTGATGGTATGGTGGCGATCTGAGGGAGAGTTGACATGTGTGTATTTGTACTCTTCACCTCACCTCACATCGCCTCACAAACATGTTGCAATTCATGTACTTGCCTCAAACTTGAGTATCTGCATCATAATTTGGACTAGGATCATAAGTTCATAACATGGAGAGGAAGACAAAGACCTAGACATATATCGACAGAGAGAGCGAGGGAGAGAGGATGGAGCTCTTCGAGGACACCCTATCCTCAACCAGGGCTGGTCCCCGGTTGGACCGGGGGCCCCTTCCCCACCCGGGAGCCTGCCGGTCGGACCAACCGGTCGACCGGCCCGGCAGACCCCCGGTTGAATCCAGCGCATTAGGCTGGACGGGRGGTACCGGGCAGTGACAGGTGTCCCCACGACTGCCCAGCCCMCACGAGGCYGCRGGCTCCAAAAAAAAAAAAAAAGGGGCTTTTTGGGCCCCACTTCTAGGAAACAACGAGCGGAGAATCTCCGCCGCTTATCTTTGCAGATCAGCGGCAAACGACCGCCGCGCGCGTTTTCTCAAAAATTGGGGGGCCACCAGGCCCCACATTTTGATTTGGCATGGTGTGGTCCGACAGACCACAGACCAGTTATCGTTGGCATGACATACTCGTCCACCCTCAGCCACGAAGGAATTACTATGGAAGAGCAGTGGCTCTCCTGAGGTTATATGCTTCTGACACATCACTAAGCTCTGGGGAAAGAGTTATGGGTTTGGGTTTCGGCTCTGTCTGAGGTGCAAGCCCAAGAACGGACCTAAGCTATATTTTTCTGTCAATCTATCTAGAATGCACGTGGCTCCACTACATGTATCTGGACAGACTAGCAGGCAAAATACTTTCGGACTGAGGACACTGATGACCCAGCGTATTTAAAACAAAAGAACAACAGAAAACGCTCTGTATTTAAAACAAAAAAGACAAACAGAAAACGCTCTGCCTGCACGAGCTGAAACCTGCACCCATAACTTTTCGGCTGTCGAGTTATACTCTGGAAAAGGTATAAGTTTTGGCAAAGATCCACTTCTATTGCATCTCATTCAGGCTGCAGGACTCCGACGGCCGTTGGCATAGTCCAGAGTACCTTCTGCTACTGAATTGAAGTCCGTGGGCCACGGGGGGTTGGATAAGTAACATTGCTTACTCGACCCCTCCCCCTGAAAGTGACACCTCCATGAATATCCCAATAATATCCCCACCTACCCCTGGGGCACCCAAAAAAAATTGGACCTTAAAATTTTTATTACGGATTTCGACAGCTCTTGAAGAGCGCARTCAGAATCCGCCAAAAAAAAAAAAAACTGGAGGCTCCCAGCAAGAACAAAATCCCCCAAATCCGAAAAACTATGTTATGCGGCCCGGCCGTGCAANAGAGAATTAGGCTTTATTTTTTGAAAACCGGTTTCCCGGTTGACCCCCCCGGGACTGGTCCGGCTCCGGTTCAACCGGGCAAGCTGAACCGGCCGGTTGCCGGCCCAGCCCTGTCCTCAACAGAAAAACCTGTATAACAATTGTAATGTACACGACGACTTTGCACACTTAAGTCTCAAATTTGTTTTCTCTCCTCTACGACGCAGCTCATGGTTGCAGGAGCGAAAATTGTACCCACTATGAGAGCACCCCACATGCACCTGGTGCAGTCAACTTGGAAACAGTCCTTGCAAGCGTGACAAGGGGTTGGATCAGTCCTTCCTTTTCCTCTCCCTGACACTTGCAATGTTGCCTTTCAATCTGGACAAAAGTTGGCAAACACAGACAGTTCCAAAGTATCCATTACTATTCCATAGTGATTCCATAGACAGTTCCATGGTCTCAATTACTATTCCATAGTGATTCCATAGACAGTTCCATAGTCTCAATTACTATTCCATAGTGATTCCATAGACAGTTCCATAGTCTCCATTACTATTCCATAGTGATTCCATAGACAGTTCCATAGTATCCATGACTGTTCCATAGTGATTCCAGAGACAGTTCCATAGTATCCATTACTATTCATAAGCAGTTCCATAGTCTCGATTACTATTCCATAGTGATTCCATAGACAGTTCCATAGTCTCCATTGCTATTCCATAGTGATTCCATAGTCTCCATTGCTATTCCATAGTGATTCCATATACAGTTCCATAGTCTCCATTGCTATTCCATAGTGATTCCATAGTCTCCATTGCTATTCCATAGTGATTCCATAGTCTCCATTTCTATTCCATAGTGATTCCGTAAGCAGTCCCATAGTCTCCATTACTATTCCGTAGTGATTCCCCAGACAGTTCCATAGTCTCCATTACTAGTCCATAGTGATTCCATACCCCTCTTGCACAAAATGCCACCATGGAACATGTGGGGAATATTTGGGAATTTGGATAAGAAAGAAAGTAACACACGTTCTTCCTCTCTGTTCGTGGACTTCACTGAAAATCGGTGCACCTCTTCAGCCCACAACAAACATCTCAAGATCATGAAACAACAAGGGGCGAGTTGAGGAGACAGCAGAGCAATGTGCCCCAGCAGTCCAAGAGGAGGATGGGTCCTGGACCCGCTGAGCGCCCCCCCCCCTCTTGTATTTGCTTTAATTGCCTGGAAGCGATTCAAAGATGCAGAAGGTGGAGTGAAACCAAAAGGGGAAACAAGGTGAAACCAAAAGGGGAAACAAGGCAAGCAAATGATCAAACAAAAGTATGGAGGATATTCATTAGCACGGCGAGTCTCCATGTCGCGAGGAAACAAAACATCTAGTTTCCCTTCGCTGGCAAGTTTCTGAAAATACGGCGACAATTCATTCACTATTGTCACGGGAAACATGTGCACGTCTGCAAAAGCAGGTACAATCGGATCCTCCTGCACAAAGCAAAAACCGCGTGGGAAGCACATGGTCGTCCACTCAACCATCAGTCTCACAGTCATACCCAATGCTACCCATAAAACTCATTCACCAATAAATCAGCAACGATTCAGCATCCATCCACATATGTGAGCCAAAAGTGTAAAGAGGAATGATTAGACACTATGAAAGTTCACATGGGTCCAGAAAATGAAGAAAAAGTCCAAAAAAGCTGGGAAGTTTTTCCTCCCGGCTTACCCAGGCATGTAAAAAAGTCCTATAATTTTTTATTTTTTATTTTTTTTTTTGGGGGGGGGCATGGATGCAGCTCTTCCGTGCTCACAGAGAACACCAAATATGGGCTCTTCTTTTTGTTTTTCAGTGTTGTCTATTCAGGGAGAGGAAGGGGGGTACCAATGGGTTTCAAAGGGTCAGTATAAAGGAGTATGAAGATTAAACGGGAATAGTACCTTGGTCTGATTGTTTAAGTTCTTTTCTCTCTGTGATTCAAGAAGGAATGCTGAGGTGACCTCAGCCAGAAGCCTTTTGCATCTTTCCCCTCTTTTTTTTCTCTTTTTTTTTTGCACTGGGGCTGCTCGGAACTTCCCCTGGGGGTCATGCCAGTCAGGCATACGGGCATGTGTCCAGGTGCCACCTGGTGCCCACACAGTGCAAAGATTTTTTTCCTAGCAAAAAAAAGAGGAAAGAGAACAGGGCTTGGGAGGCTTAGGGAGATACTTGCTGGAGGGTATGGGGGCATGGGGGGATGGGAGATATTTGTGATGGATCAAGGTGACATTGTATTGCATGATCCCTGTAGGAGATGCGCCACATCGAAGAAGCATTTTTAATTCGTCACATCCCGTCCTAATGGTATGGGTGCTTAAGGCAAGTAGATAATTTAGGAATCCCACAAAATACAACGTCTATATCTTGACAATTTGCTACAGACGAAGAATAAGCATGTTCCTGTGCCGTCATAAAACCATGGCTACCCCGGACCCCGACACCCAACACATCCAGACAAGAAACCAGACCTGTGTCTGCTTCAATCCAGTCGTCCGGTCATCCGGACATCCACCAGACACCACACATAACCGGCAAACCCAGACCGCCCAGATTAGTAAAAAAAAAAAAAAAAAAAAAAAGAGTAAACATCATAGTTGCGGCACACCTCGGTGCGCGGATTTG